AGCCCCCCAACCAGTGGCGGAGACACTAGAGACGAAGGCAGCTAAAGAATGCTTGCGGTGGTTCCTGTGAACAGAAAAACGGTTTTCTGCATGGGCGCAGAGGACGAGTCGGTTTTTTCGTGTAGCTGAAACTGGGAGCCAGGGGCCTAAGTTGACTGGGTTGTTCCTCGGTTCGTGTCGACGGGGGACTGGACCAGCGGGTAGGGCGGAGTCTGCGACGGGGCTGCTGTTTCGTTTTTGGCGGTGGGTTTGAGTGCGGTCGCTCAGGACTCGGGGTCGGCGGGAGCGGCGACAGCAGGGCGGGCGGAAATGACCTTGATATCCGAGCTTGCCGTTCGGTTCAGTGTGGTCTCTCGGGGCTCGGTGTCGGCGGGAGCGGGGAAGCGGGGCGGGCAGGAGCGTCGTTGAGGCTCGAGCTTGCATTGTCTGGGACTGAGTGTGTGCATCGGGAGCAATCTAAAAACAAAAACCTGCAAGAAAGGAGAGACGGTACTCCGTGTCCAGCTGGGGCGGGGTCCAGAGGTTAGAGCTTGCATTGCCGGGGACGAGTGAATTTGTGTCAGGAACATCTGAAAATAAAAACCTGCAAGAAAGAGGAGACGGTGCTGTGCTGCGTGACCGGCTGGAGCGGGGTCCGGGTAGTGACTGGTGGCTGGGCGCTTGCCGCGTGCCAACTTATACGATCGGTGGGGCGGTGCGTTAGCCAATGGGCGTGCTTTGTCTAAACGCTGGGGTTTCTTGGTGATGCGTCCGTAGCGGGTAGTCACGGGCTCGTGAAATTTGACGGGTCGTGCCGTGAGGGTTGTAGTGTTCGGATCGGCTGATGCTTGCTTGATTTTTCGTTGCGAGAGGGTACTTGCGTTGGGTCGTGTCGTTTATCTGTAACAAAAAATTTAGATAAGGGCAGATGCCGCGGAAACGGACTGCTTGTTGTCAGGATTTGGTTTCTTGAAAGAACAAGGCTGTCTGCAGTTGCGGGCTTCGTCACCATATTTGCTGTGGAAAAAGCATAAGTCTGGATCCTGTTGTTTGCTAACTTGTGATCGGCCGTAGGCGGGTGTCGGTGAGCGATGGCGGGAATGCCGATTTTCGGCCTGCTTCATCTGAGCTTCGAGCGCGGCGACTTTTTTGGTGAGCTGCCGGATCTCGGCTGTTAGTTCTGAAATTTTGTCGGAGTCAGCGGCGCTGACTGAAAAAAAACAGCTGCATTGGGCTTCGTAGGGATGGCCTCGATGATCCGGTCCGCCATTTTTGCCAGCTGGTCCAAGGATGAATTTTCAGGCTGCGTTTGAAGGATTGCCTGGGCTGAAGTTGGCAGGCGTTGTAACCATACCGTCTTCAGCATGTTGTCTTGGACAATTGTGTTTCCAGCGAGCGACTGGAGGCGACGGAGGAATTGAGACGGCGTGCTGTCCCCTATTTCCTCTTCTCCAAGAATTTGGCGGATCCGCTGGGCCTCTGATTTTGACAGCCGGTCGATCAGGGCTTTTTTTAAAGTTGTGTATGGGTCGGTGGTGGGAGGCTTACGGATGAGATCCGCGACCTCTTTCGCCCAACGGCCTTCCAAATGACCTGAAACGTAGGAAAATTTGGTTCTTTCTGCGGAGATTTTGTTTAAGTCGAATTGAGCTTCAATCTGGGCAAACCACAATTCTGGGTCGTCTGGCCAAAAAGGTGGGATTTTGATCGAGATCCTTCCAATCGTAAGTGCTTTGACTTTCTCCTGTAGAGCTTGAATCTCGGTTAGATTCTCTTGATCGTTCGCCATCTTGCAGGTAAAGGTGCGTTTTCTTGTTCGATCGGGGTCACCAATGTGGAAGTGCTAGCTACATAAATGGTGGCCCTAAAAAGGGCCGTTTTCGAATGATGGAGCAAGGAGCTCAGGTGATGGCGAGTCGGAGCGAGAGCGTGTGGCGTGTGAGAGGACCTGCAAGAGAATGGTCTAGTGGAGCTCGCGGCCGCACATATTTATAGTGCGGGCGCGCGGGAAAGCATGACGGGCTGCGCTCTCATTGGCTGGTGACGAGGGTGCCAGGCACAAGGAGCTTCGCTCTGGTTGGCTGGTGGCGATGGCGCCACAAGGTGAACACATTCAAGAATTACATATGTGTTCACTCCTCTGTTTATGTGACTCGCTTCTTTATACAGTTATTACGCACCAAAAAATGGATTATCCTGCAGATTTTGCAGTATCAGTTTTTAGTGATTCCTACGTCATCTTTAGCGCCGAGTTGGATTTTTCAACTTCCCACCAAAATTTTGTCAGGAACCTTGCCATTTTTGCAGTGAGTGCACTGGAAGAAAAAAACACATTGGATCTAGAGTCCAGACTCTCGAAAACATTGAAAAGAAAAATGACTCTTGATTCAAGCAGATTTAAGCTTAAATCAAAAGGAAATCCGCTCAAATTAAGAGGCTTGGTTTTTTATTTAAGCTTAAATCTGATTGAATCAAGGGTATTTTTTCTTGTCGATGTTTTTAAGAGTCTGGACTCTAGATCCAATGTGTTTTTTTCCAGTGTGGTGTTGTTTGTCCTAATCTCAGATTTCGCTATATGCATAGAATTATATATAACTCATTCCAAATGAAAAATTCCATGATGTGCAATTTTAACAAAATCTGCTAGGTACTGAGGATTCTCGTGTGAATCAGATGGCCTTATGAAAATTTGAATTTAGCCCTGAAAATGACAAATAAATCACCCTTAAGACCTCTGTATTTCTCAGATCTAACTAGGCCCAATAGTGGAAGCAAGTCTGCGTTAACAAAGTTTATATGAGGGCCTTGGAGGTTAGTGGGCCTATAGAAAGGCGCGTAAGTGCAGTTTTTGAAAAAAATGATACTCGATGATACTAATAACAATGATAACTAATGATACTAATGATACTGTGTTAATGATACTTTTCATGAACTCAACTAGAGCTAGTTTGAAAGTATATTCTGTGAAAAATTCACAACTAAAATCCAACTTTAAAGCATCAAAAAGTCAGTTTTAACTTCCTTCCTGCCATGAGGCTCCATGTAATTTTGAAACCTTGAGCACGTATTTCTCGAAATAGCAGCAACTGCTCGTATGCGCCTTGAACCCCAAGCCCCTCGTATAGCCTTATCGGAATTCATACTCGCACCACCTTTTGTAACAAGGAAACACCACCGGGAGTATCACTGTTAGCTTATCTACAAAAGTATCCATGCTGGAGAATCAAATGACACCCATATCCTTCTTAACAGGAGCCAGAAAAAGTATCTTGCCTCAAAAATGAACATTTTATCGAAGGAAATTTGGCAACTCTCGAATGTTCATACGGCGTTCTTCCTTAGCACGGCAGCATTGGTATCAAGGTCGTTTCGAGGGAATTTTCCCCTCTCGAACGACACGAGGGACTTATAAAGAGGCGAGGAAAAGTTTAAAAGTTAAAAAAAAAATCGCATCCGCTTCCTCGAGGAAAAAACCTCTCTTGAAAATCCTTCATAACCTCGACAGCGCGCAGTCGGATTTTTGCATACAAAGCATCAAACGGATTGACTCGTCAATACCTCGTCAAATCGTTGCCCTCCTAACATAAGGGCGTAACTACTCTCCACCATAAACCCCGTCGTCCGTACAATCAAATGCTTTTCCGGGCTCGATTCAATGTGTGGTCACGCGCTTCTGTCCGGGAAGCGACAAAATCTCTGAGCAACGAGGAACGTCGATTCGAGATTTATAATTCGTAATTTAGGGCAGAACATGTTGAACAATTTTACATCCGGCCCCTTTGTTTCTGGCCCGGAGTCGACAAACCCTCAGAAGCAACGGCCGTGGTTGGAAGCACGTGCCATAATCAGCCAACTGATTTGGAATTTTGACTATAAAATGCAGCGCGGGATGAATAATTCATGGCGCATGAGACAATTTCAAATTCATTGTTCATTGAAACTATTTTTTTCCCCGCTGGAGATTGTTGAGAATTCGCGGAGACTGACGAGTGGCGGATAATTGGGGACCAACTACGTCATCCGGGCTCATTTTCATCCGTCATGATGCATGAATAAAATTCGCTTGAAAAATGCAAAGAGCTTTGATAATCCTCTCCTCTACGGGTCCACGCTTTTGGTGCCCTCCTGAATAGGCAGGCAAAAATGAAAGGTAAAAAATGCATATGAATGCCGATCTTTTCTGACGGTAAAAAATAGGCACGGCCGAGATGTATTACGGGGGCTTAGATTTCCTCGCTGGGTGAGGCTCCTCGAAGGGCGAGCATTTAATCGGATTTACTCTTAGATCCAACGAAAGCCGAAAGAAAGTGAGTTCTTAAAAATGTGGCGAGTTCCCGGAAAACAAGGGAACTTCACCTCCACTGCTCTGAATAGATTACTTGAAAAAGTTGACTACCAGTGTGTGCTGCCATGCAAGGGAAAAACGCCGTATGAGCATTCGCATGTTGCCAAATTTCCTCCCAGAAGATATTTATTTTTGAAGAAAGTTATTAATATTTTCCTTTGAAATTTTCAGAATATTTAGATCAAATTACGACCGGGAGTCTCTGAAAAGTCGGAAGAAAAATGTGAAACAATATTTCCGCAAATTCGTGATTTATCAAAGGAAATTTGGCGACGTCCGAAGGATCATTAGGCGTTAAGGCTTTTTAAAATGACTATTGATTTGGACATACTATAGCATATCTTGGGCAAACTTAACCGTAATTTATATCGAATTTCAAAAATAAGAGACATATAAAGTGTAAACGCGATAAAACTATTCGCGCAAGATGGATGCAAGATGGATGTTCATTGCATATGAAAAATGTAAGATGCGATAGCGTGAGTCGTGAACTCGCAATACTCTGCTCTATGCTACTAGTTTGAAGCACCATTACGAATATAAGACAGACGCAAGCGAACACAACGGAAATAAAGCGAGGGAAAGGATGCGCGTTAACGACGGCGCGAAGATACAACTATTCGTACTTGATGGACATCCGTGCTGCATCTGAAAAATTGAAGGCGCAATGACGTGAAGCGTGACCTCTTAATGCTCTGCTATGTGCTGTCAATGAGGTGTCGCTCAGTTTCGGGAGAAAAGATAAATAAGAGGACCGAACACATCTCTCCTACCTTCGGCTGTGT